AAGTTTTATTCTATCCTAAAGTGAGTTTATACTATATCAAACCCATATTTTGCCACTTCTCCTAGCCCTTGTCAGTGTGCTGCTACAGAAATTTCCCTCCTGCAGGGTACCACACACTAACGTTCAAATTCCGGAAAACGCAGGTGCACTGCCAAGCACTTCACTGTGCAAGGGCTTACCGTACACCAAATTTCCCAAGACTCTTCCTTTCTCTCCCTTATCTCATGCTTCGTCCGTCTCCGTGTGCACCCCTCGTGGAGCTACAGAACCGCAGATCGGGACTCCGCACTGGCTTCGTACAAAAGTTTGTCTCAATCACACATCACACAGAGTCTCACCCAACCCCCAAGGCAATACTTAGTATTTCTTACCTTGGTCTGTGCACAGAGTTACTGGGTCAATTCTTAAACCCCGGAGTGCCTACCTTCTTCCTTCCCCCACTACTTCACGGATCCTGCCTCTTTAACCAGTCTCGGGCCCTCTGTCAGCTCTCCGCAGAACCACCACCGCCTATGCACAGGACCGCTGAAATCAGTGGGGCATGCCTTCCTGCTGCTGTGGTGGGGCTCCCCAGTAGGTGACTGGATCCTGGACAAGCCCCCAAATTGTCAGAAACACTCCATAGCCAGTGACTTGTTAAAACAACAAGCCTGAAACAAAGGATCAGGCGAGGATTTCAGTGAAGTAGCAATTTATTTGCGATTGCAATGGTGGGTGTCCCACAAGCAGGAGAGCGTGTCTACTAGTTGCGTAACAGAGTTTATATACTTCCCCCCCCCCCCCCCGATTACCGGACCCTCTCCTGTTTCCCCATTGACTGGGTAATCCAGGTTCACAATCTGATGCTTCACAGACAATACATGGCCTTTAGTTGCCGGCCTGTTATACGTCAAATTTCTTTTGACTTTTCTACTCTTTGAGGTGGTAATGTTTCTTACACGGTGATTTCTGCCTAATTGTTCTAAAGATTCTGCTTGGCTGCATTTTACAAGGTCACCTGCTAAGTTTTCTCATCACTGTAAGCATATCTCAATACCACATTCCTTTCCTCTACGTAACTCTGCAAAAACGTTTTTATTCCCACAATAGTTTATCAAGCTCCCTATATCAAGCATCATTTTGACAGGAGGGTGGTTTTGATTGTACCAGGCCTTTTTGGAACCTTCTGCTGTTAAAATAGTCAAAGCTGACTCTTCTCTTTCTGTGTCTATCTAAACAGCTGAGCAGCTCACTATTAGTGTAGAATTCAAAGCATTCACATCAGGTTACCCGGATTTCATCCTGTACTGACAGTGATTTTATCCCTTACATTATTCTTTGCCCACAATAGGGAATTTTTGGCAAATGCAGAACTATTTTCAGAGGTTATTTCTGAACCTTAGTCATAGTGCAAGATGAAGTTACAGGTCTTGAGGCATCTGAATCTGTTATTAGTACTTCTCCAATATAAGAATACTTTGGAGGGTCAGAGGAACATGTAAGAGGTTAAAAGCTCATTTCCCCCCCCCCCCCCCCCCCCTTTCTGGCTTAAGTATTTCTGTCATTGCTATTTCAGCAAAAGTTACTCACAAATAACAAATCCTGCCATAATTACCTGCATTATGTCAGGGACTGGAATTTTTACTTTAAAGTTTCAGTACTGCAGAAGCTGATGTCACTCGCCAAGGAAAACTTCCCTCTAATTTGGCAAGGATACACAAGTCCAATCACCTATAAATTGTAACACTTACAAATTTAGATTTTTTTTCCCTTGAAGCTGTTTTCTAACTTTGTATTATAACTGTTTGGTAAGCACTACTTGAAGTGTATAATGCACTGAAAGTAATACTGGAGTAAATATGGCTTTCTGAAAGCATATCCTAAGAAGGATTTGGAAGTCTAAATGCTGACTTCTGGAGTGTATCATCTGGTGTTTACCTGTCTGTACTGGAAAGATCCAGGGCAAACACTTTGCAGCCTTTAAGTGGCAGAACAAAATGGCACACATCCTATTTTGAATTGCTTTATTTTTAGCCTATTATAGAGTATTCAAAAATAATTTAGAACCTAATGACCTAACAGTTCAGTGGGAAGAGATCAGAGCTGTTCGGGCATGGAAATTTCAGATTAAATGTTACCACATATAAAACCTTCCAGTTGGAGCTTTTTGATTACGTGTTGGGGAAGGACTAAAGGTGTTCAGCGAAGTTAAAGAAGCTTCCTTGAATAGGAGGTTAGCGGAGGCTATTCCAAGCAAGCAGGCTAGGTGGCCATTTAGCTTCTTCTGATAGCCTGGCATCACAAGCTCTTATACTTCATCAGGCTTTATACTGATGCCCCTGAAAATGCTATATAAGTGTCTGGTGCAACTCAGCTGATGACCTAGCTGAAATATTTCTGCGATCGGAGTGCCCTGACTTCACAGACTTACCAGGCGTTTGCATCACAGCTCATGCTTCAGATTCTATAGAGGAGCTGCTGCTCTGCCTTATAAACACTGCTTAGCAGTTGAAGAAATGCTGGTTATTAGAGCTGAATTGCAGATATTTTTTTGCCATAGTACAGAACTCCAACTAAGCAGCTGCAGCTGGCTTCCTGGGATAGTGGAGCAGGAGCTATGAGCAGATGAAATGTTGTTCCCCTTGTGCTGCTGGACTCATTGACTGGCTTGTCAGTGTTGTCTAATCAACTTGCCTGTTGACTTGCGGAAATCAGCCTCTATAAAAATCAGACTATAACCTCAGAATAGTTATAAAGCAGGTGTGTTTATACAGCGCTGCGCACATGCTGGGTGTGAGGGGATCACTTCGCCTAACTTGTGTACCAAGGGTTACTGGCAGTGTGTCTATATCAGTGGAACAAATACATATTCATTTCATTTCCCTTAAGGCTCTTGCATATTCATCAGGTCTCCAAAGAATCATTAACATAGGTTCTGTCTCTATTTTTATGTGTAATGGAGTCCTTGGGTGGTCATCTGGCGTACTCTGGTGGTCTTTTGATGAAGGCCAGAAGTCTTCCTCGCTGCTAATCTTCTGGCCTTTCCCGTCTTTGACAGACTTAAGCAGTCAAGCCAGTTCTTGCTGGTTCCATTATCTATGCATACAGTCTTTTACTCCCTTATCTTTGGGGTTGTTAACATACAATTGTGCTAGCTAAGGCCTAGGAATCAACATGCTTCATCTTGTTCCCTGTCTCACTGTGGTAGATGTGGGTCATGATTTGTGTAACTCCCAAGTATCCTGTGAGGAAGGTTAAGAATTCCTAATATTAGTGCAAATGTTGTCCTTCTTAGCACGACATAGGATAACTACCTAAGGATTTTGAATTTTTTGTTATCCTAATGAGTTGTGTGCTGTTGTTACTTTAATACTGACTCTTGCTTTCTAGCAAGCTTTGACCTGACTTCCCTAAATGTTGGGAATATCAAAAGGACCCTTGAAGAAAAGTGATCTTTTTTTAGAGCTTCTCGCATAGTGGATACTGCACAATAACCTTCAGAGTGAACCTGGGATACCTGCTGTAAGCTACCAGGCAGGAATGTGTAGGAAATCTCTTGCCATTTGTGGTGGCTGGGGGAGTGACAACTTATCCAAACTTCAAAGCATAGTATGATAAGTTGAAGCTGGATGTGTATTGAATTAGACTCCTTAAAAAAAAAAAAAAAAAAAAAAAAAAGACTAATCCTTACCCTACTGCTAAAACCTAGCTTGATTTGAACATATATTGAATGTTGGTGTTGTGTATTAATTCCAGTCTGTTGTTAACTTTAAAGACCATAATCAGCAGCAGTGTGGCCAAGATGTGGAGACTGAGCATCAAGAAATCTATAGCTGAGAAGGCAGATGCCCTGTTTGGGAGGAGGAAGTCCTTGTTGAGAAATGTTTTTTCATTTTGGCACGTTCTAAGTTTGACTTGAAACAAGAGCATGTGTAATGGATGTTGTCAATACTGTACGTGGATTCTGCTGCTTCCTGTGATAGTAATGGCTTTGATTCCCTCTAAATTCACATACTATACTGGTGGTGAGTGAGCTGTCTTGCTCTCCAGTAGCTTTCAGAAAGCACCAGATTCTGCTGACCTAATTGATGCCAAAGGTGATAATTAAGCTTTCTAAAAAGCTCTGAAGGCAGTCCTATTAGTAAGTATTCATGACTGTACTAATAGGTGGGTGAAAAGTGGGAGTTAAAAGAAATTCTCTTATTTCTGTGTGATTGCTATTGCCATGCAGGGGAGGAGAGCTCATCTGTTACTGCAAAGCATCTTGTAGTAAGGAGATGCTCATATTCAAGCATAAGTATTGCCTCTGGGTGTGTTCAGGTGCACCAATGTGTTATGTTTAAAAAAAAAAAAAAAAGATAGCGTTTTTACTTTCATACTTCCCAGAAGTTACTTTTTTGGTAACTAAATATATGTATTGATAGCAGCAGTGTGACAATGTCTTTGAAATTAACAAGTTCAAGATGGTAGTGCTTGTGTTGGTAGATGTTAACATAGCAACAGGTGTCTTGGTAGTGAAACCAGTACTGCTACTAGCATAAATGCTCGATTTGATCTAAACAAAGGATAGTTAAGAAAATATTATGGGTACCTGGGAGATTATTGCTAGGTGAATGAATAGTTTGGAAACTAAGGTCAAACCAACCTTACAGTTTGGACTGAGACCAAGGGCTCAGAGAGCATGTGCAAGAAGATGAGGTAAAAAGTCCAACTCTGATGAAGACATCTTGCTTCATCTGGACGACCACCAGAGAGTACTACACAAGCGCAGAAGGACTGATAAGATAATTAGCATACGAAGTGGGGCTAGGCGGAGCTAGGAAATGAATACGCATAGATGTGTTGCAAAACTTAATGCATATGTAATATTTTAGGGTATAAAAGAGAACGTGAGTGAACAAATCGGACAAAATTAGATTTAGGCAGACATGCCCCTAACTTCCGGCACCTAATAAAAGCACCTTCATATAATCATTTTGTGGTTATGTGTCTTTGTGAACGCTAACATTTTGGTGACCCAGATGGGACCTCGTGGGCACTGCTGAGGCGGCTCGCAAACTGATCAAGCTCCAGCCGACACCGAGGAGTTTCTCGGGGAGCCATCGGCTGCGACCAACCCTGCTGCTCACAACACACCTCTGGAAGGGTAAGAGAAAAGGTGCTTTCTGGTAATCGGTACCGATCTGGTCTGGGAGCCTGCCGGTCAGACACAGCGAAAGCCACGCACGGTTGGGCTAGGGAATTCCCGGGGTAAGCCTAGGTGTCGTCCGTAAGACAGTCGTGAAAGCGCTGCAGGTTCGGCATCAGTGGTCTGGTTTGGTAAAAGGTTATAGCTATAACAAATAGAAAAACTTAAAGGTATTCTGGACGGCAATACTCCCGTACTGTGATCTTCCCCTTTGGGCTGTTTACTAGCACATTGGAAGGAGGGGGGCTTTGGACAGGAGTTACGAAAAGGTAAACTAGTTGATTATTGTAATGTTTGGTGGCCACAGTATGAATTAGAAGAGAGTTGGCCAGAAAATGGAACCTTGCAATACAATACTATCTTACAATTAATGTTATTTTGTAAGCGAGAAGGCAAGTGGGATGAGATTCCTTATGTAGAGCTATTTTTCTATTTGCGAAATAAGCCTAAGTGGCAACGCGCTTGCAGGATAATGGTGGTTAAAATAACTGTTGATGAGCAATGTAAAGCACGCACAGGAGAAAAGCGCTGTATAGGGCATCAAGCATTAGAGAATGGTATGTATTATAGACGGGACAATGGAAATACAGATTTGGAAGTAGCACCATCAGCCCTGTTAGAACAAGGGCAGACTGTCAGGGGAGAAAGTGAGGATAGTGAGGGGAAGAAGGGAGAAGAAAAAGGAGCAGTAGCTTTGGCTACCCCGGTATCATATAGAACTTGATGACGAGACCAGAAAGGTGCTGCTGAATGTATGATAAGAGAGAAAGACGGAATAAGACAAAAGAAAAACATAATTGCTTCACTTAGACAAGGAGTAGGGACAGAAGGGCCAGTATATGTTAAAGTACCGTTTACTCCAGGAGACCTAGTAATTTGGAAACAAGCAGCAGGAACATATCGGGAAAACCCAGATAAAGTAGCTAGGGTAATGAAAATGATAATTAAAACCCAGAATCCGGACTGGGATGATCTTCAAGTAATATTAGATACATTAATGGACTCAATAGAAAACGATATGGTGTTAAGGGCAGCTAGAGAAAGAGCGAGAGGATATCTGGAATAGATTAGTCCCAGGAAACATAGATCAGAACTTCCTGATGGAAGACCCGCAATGGGACTATAACACAGGGGAAGGTATGAGGAGATTGAAAAGGTATCAGGATTGGGTCTAAATAGGGGTGCAGAGTGCCATGCCCAAAACTATAAATTGGTCCAAATTGTATAATGTTAGGCAGGAGAAAACCGAATCTCCCTCCGCATTTTTGGAAAGGCTTAAGGAAACTGCAGAGAAATATACTGACCTAGATATAGAAACAGAACAAGCTAAAGCATGATTAGCTCTTATCTTTTTAGGACAATCACAGGAGGATATTCGGAAGAAATTACAGAAACTGGAAGGAGGAGACCTGAGAAATATAGATAGGTTGTTAGAAATAGCTTGGAAAGTATACAACAATAGAGAGAAAGAATCCACTAGGAGGCAGCAACAGAATTTGTTAGCAGTAATTCAAAGTAGAGGAAACCAAGGATTCAGAGGGAGAGGAAGAGGATTTGCTAGAGGACAGGGGGTTAGTATAGGAAGGGGTCGCTGAGACCTTCCTGGAAATCCAGGAGGAAGACTAGGATTGAATCAGTGTGCTTATTGTAAAAAGGAAGGGCATTGGAAAAATTAGTATCTATTTAGAAGAGATCAATTCTCGGGAAATTCATTTCAGAATCAGGAGGCTGCTAAGGCAATGGTATTAGGAGATTTTAGTAGCTGACTACATACAGAACATAAAGCAGCCAAGGAACATTTAGTAAAGATTCAATTAGGGGATAAGGAAATAAGGTTCTTGATAGATACAGGAGCAACATATTCAGTGTTAAATTGTTTAAAAGGACAATTAGGAACTAAGACAACTGCAATAATTGGAGCCACAGGGAAGGAGGAGGAACGGCCATTCTTACAACCCCTTGATTTGCGTTTTGGAGCTAAGGAACTAACCCATGAATTTCTGTATGTACTAGAATGCCCAATTCCACTCTTGGGACGGGATCTATTAGCTAAATGAGATGCAACAATAACATTTGAGGATGGAAAATTAATAATGAAGGTACCTGAGTCCAAAATAGGACAAATCCTGATGATCAAAGATAAACCCTTTGTCAATATCCCAAGAGAAGTAGAAAATGCAGTTATACCAATAGTATGGGAAACAGATGTACCAGGGAAGTCAAAACTGGCACAACTGGTAAAGGTGGAATTAAAGGAAGGAGCCAAACCTGTTTGAATCAAACAATATCTACTTAAGATAGAAGCTAGGCAGGGGATAATGAAAATTATTGACAAATTTCTTAAATATCTGATTTTGGAAGAATGTAAATCGGAATATAATACTCTAATTTTTCCAGTAAAGAAGCCAAATGGCGAATATAGATTGGTACAAGATCTTAGAGCAATAAATGAAATAACAAAGGACATTCACCCGGTAGTAGCTAATCCTTATACATTGTTAACATCTGTGAGAGAGAAATATAAATGGTTTACTGTGATAAATTTAAAGGATGCCTTCTTTTGCATACCTCTTGATAAAGATAGTAGAAAATTATTTGCCTTTGAATGGGAAAACCCGCAGAATGGACGACAGACACAATGAACTTGGACAAGACTTCAAGAATAGCCCGACCCTCTTCGGAAGTCAGCTGGCCAAGGAACTGGAGATCTGGACAACGCAAGGACAAATACAGGTACCCAGAAGTCAGTGTTTGTTGTTACAATATGTAGATGATATTTTGATTGCCACAGAGAATGAGTCGCTCTGCACCCAAATAACCATTGAGATTTTAAATCAGTTAGGAATGGGTGGCTATAAAGTTTCAAAGGAAAAAGCACAAATAGTTTGCTCAACTGTAACATATTTGGGGTGTGAGATTTTTCAGGGACAAAGAAGTCTGGGTATCAACAGGATAAAAGCTATATGCGCTATCCCGGAACCTCAAAATCTCCATGAGCTAAGGGCCTTCTTAGGAATAGCTGGGTGGTACAGATTATAGATAATGGATTACGGACTCATAGCTAAGCCCCTTTATGAAGCTCAGAAGGGGCATAATTTTATTTGGGGAAAAATACAGAAAGAAGCTTTTAAGAAACTTAAAGATGCTCTAATGAAGTCACCAGCTTTGGGTCTACCAGATTTATCAAAAGATTTCCAGTTATTTGTACATGAAAGACAACGACTAGCACTAGGGGTACTAACTCAGCAACTGGGAAGCTGGAAAAGACCTGTGGGATACTTTTCCAAGCAGTTGGATGCTGTAAGTGCAGGATGGCCCTCATGTTTGCGGGCAGTAGTGGCAACAGTTCTCTTAATCCAGGAAGCGAGGAAACCTTGGGAAATCATACTGAAGTTTTTGTACCACATATGGTAACAACTGTTTTAGAGCAAAAGGGGGGCCACTGGTTATCACCCAGCCGGATGATGAAATATCAGGCAATGCTAACTGAACAAGATAACGTAACCTTGAAAACGACTAACCTGTTAAATCCAGCAGTATTTCTAGGAACTGTTCCAGAAGAAGGACCATTGGAACACAATTGTGTGGAAATAATCGAACATGTTCATGCCAGCCACGAAGATTTGAAGGATGTACCCCTTGAAAGGTATGACTGGGAACTTTTTACTGATGGTAGTAGTTTTGTGGAGAATGGAACATGATATGAAGGGTATGCAGTAACAACCCTGAAAACGGTAATCGAAGCAAAACCTTCACCACCTGGAACATCGGCACAGTGAGCGGAACTGATAGCTCTAACTTGAGCACTGGAACTGAATAAAGGAAAGATAGTAAATATTTGGACAGATTCAAAGTATGCCTTTGGAGTGGTCCACGTTCATGGAGCATTATAGAAAGAAAGAGGGTTGTTTTCCTCACAAGGGGCCAATATAAGATATCAAGAGGAGGTGTTAAATTTGATAAATGTGGTACAAAAAACAAAACAAGTGACTATTATGCACTGTAAAGCCCATCAAGGAGGAACCTTGAAGATATCAGAAGGGAATCAGTTGGCAGATCGAGCAGCTCGACATATTGCTCAGAAGGTGTGGAATGTGATGGCTTTGGTACCACTCAAGGTAGGCCCCACTCGTCTTAATCTTCCCAAGGAACCAAGATATTCACCAGAGGATGAGAAATTAGCAAATCTATAGGCCCAAAAGAACTCTGATGGATGGTATGTAACTGCTATGGGCCAGGTAGTAATACCCCCCTTGGTGATGCGAGAAATACTTCAGACAAGGCATAATGAGTGTCACTGGAGTGCAGAGGCAATAGTAACATTTCTAAAATGTAGCATTATCTCTACACATATGTTAACAATGGCAAAATCAGTCATGTCAAAGTGTGAGATTTGTCTGAAAAATAATCCAGTAGCGAGAAAACATGCTGAAATGGGAAGAGTCAGAATAGGAATAGAACCAGGAGATTACTGGCAAGTTGATTTTATAGAGTTACTTAGGACTAGGGAAATGATTTATAAACTTACAGGACAAGTAGGCTCGTGAGAGCCATGAAAGAAGGCTTTAGAGATTTTAATATCCAACTACAAGCTACAACTAAAATGGTTCTACAAAATCGATGGGCATTAGATACACTGTTATTAAAGGAACATGGGTGTATGGATTTCTAAAAGATCGCATTGATCATTGCTGCATCCACATACCAAATGTGACTATTGATGTAGAACATGACACAGAACGGCTGGCTAGAGTGGAACAAGATGCAGAACAGGAAGAGAAAGATATGACAACAAGCTGATTGGATAAAAATTTTAGCAGATGGAATATTAGTAATTGGGCTAAATCCTTACTGGAAACGGTAATTATATTGGTAATTGTAGGGGTATTAATTTGGTTAACATTGGTAATGCTGAAAAGTCTGATCCTAAAGAAGACAACATGGAACCAGAAAGTGATGCAGACCATTGCTCGGCAAATGGAACCACATCCTCAATACCCTCCGCCGGCATATGACAATTTTGGATTTCAGAGAGAACCTGAGGAATCCAGGGGTTAAAGATGGCATCCACTCCAGATTAAATGAACCCAATCAGGAAGGCAAATACGACATAAAGCAGAAGTAGTGGATTTCAGATTTACGGAATGTTGTGACAACCCTAATCTTTGTAATTTTCTTGATTATGTTATTGGTGTGTGCTGAGTGTGAGACATTTTAATTAGTTAGTGAAAGCATTTGCCCTCCTTGAAGGAGTGAAATACTTTCAAAGGGGGGAAATGTTGGTAGATGTTAACATAGCAACAGGTGTTTTATGTTTAAAAAAAAAAAAAGATAGCGTTTTTACTTTCATACTTCCCAGAAGTTACTTTTTTGGTAACTAAATATATGTATTGATAGCAGCAGTGTGACAATGTCTTTGAAATTAACAAGTTCAAGATGGTAGTGCTTGTGTTGGTAGATGTTAACATAGCAACAGGTGTCTTGGTAGTGAAACCAGTACTGCTACTAGCATAAATGCTCGATTTGATCTAAACAAAGGATAGTTAAGAAAATATTATGGGTACCTGGGAGATTATTGCTAGGTGAATGAATAGTTTGGAAACTAAGGTCAAACCAACCTTACAGTTTGGACTGAGACCAAGGGCTCAGAGAGCATGTGCAAGAAGATGAGGTAAAAAGTCCAACTCTGATGAAGACATCTTGCTTCATCTGGACGACCACCAGAGAGTACTACACAAGCACAGAAGGACTGATAAGATAATTAGCATACGAAGTGGGGCTAGGCGGAGCTAGGAAATGAATACGCATAGATGTGTTGCAAAACTTAATGCATATGTAATATTTTAGGGTATAAAAGAGAACGTGAGTGAACAAATCGGACAAAATTAGATTTGGGCAGACATGCCCCTAACTTCCGGCACCTAATAAAAGCACCTTCATATAATCATTTTGTGGTTATGTGTCTTTGTGAATGCTAACACTTGTGTGAACCTTAAAACAAATGCAAGTGATGTTACTTTCCTATGTTTAAGGAAAGGGTGTGTGAGAAACACTCTGTAGCCAATAACATAGACTCAGGTGAGGATCTCAGTGAAGTAGCAATTTTATTCGAGATTGCAATGACATGTGTCCCACAAACAGGAGCATACCTACTAGTCACATAGTACAGTTTATATACTTCTCGATAATTGGGACCCTCCCCTGTTTTCCCACTGACTGGGTAATCCAGCTTCACAACCTGTCCGATGCTTCACAGGCAATACATGGCCTTCAGTTGTCGGCCTGTTAAATTTCAGATTTCTTTTGACTTTTTATTGCTCGAAGTGGTAATGTTTCTTCACTTATCTGACTTGACACTGTGATTTTCACCTAATTGTCCTAAGGAATCTGGTTGTCTGCATTTTACAAGGTCGCCTGCTAAGCTTTCTTATCATTGTAAGCATATCTCAATACCACATTTCTTACCTTTAAACAATGAAACTCTGTGCAAAACCAACATTTTTATTCCCACAGGTGGAGCTGGTACTTAGGGACGTGGTTTAGTGGGTGACATTGGTGGTAGGGGGATGGTTGGAGCAGATGATCTTGGACGTCTTTTCCAACCTTACTGATTCTATGATTGTAGTTGTTTGGTGCATGGGGAAGAGGTGACTTACTACATGCCATTTTGTTGAACCACTTTGTCCTTTAAAGTCTGAGAGTTGTTGAGTTCAAGATGTTTGGCATAATTAAAAAAAAAAAAGTATTTTGAGGTTTTGATTAGTGGTGTAAACTTGGAGGTACTGGGGGATGTGCTGTATTGCATTAGAGCTAGCAGTGCTGGGTTTGAACCAGTACAATGCACGGATGGAGAATAATTGTAAGGATCAGCTATGCGGCAGTTCTTAGGGGCAGAGTAATGCTTGGTTGGGCTGTTTGTGTGCCTGACACAGAATGAGAGCGGTGGCGTGGCTGGGATCCCTGGCACTTGATCCTTCTCTGCAGCGTATACAAGTGTATTTTGCACTAGTCACCTGAAATCCTGTCTTGGTGTACCCTATGGGTATTGCTGGGGCTGTTCCTAGGAGATGCATCATCTTTATTTCACAGGGCTGTTTGGGGCAGGAAGGATGAAGACTGCTGATCTGTGAAATGCTATGCCTTTTGGTACAGGAAGAGGGGATCTCAGATCTCATCCTCAGCTTCCCAGGCTTCCTTAAGTGCCAGCCAAGATTACTGCTGTTGCTGCCTCTGATGAAAACTGTTTTGCTTGGCTCAAAATGTTTTTCCTTAGAGGCCACAAAAATTGGGACAAAGTGGGGTAGGAGAGGTTCCAGAAAGTGGAGCAGTGGTTATCGTCAGTAATGCTGAGTTGTTAAGAAAGGGTGCAAGGGTGATTGTGTGTTTTTTCTAATGGTGAAAAGTACTTGGAATCAGTTCCTGCAGCTGTCCCCCATGCTCTACTGCTGTTATAGTGCAGGTATTTCTACCACTTGTTCCTTGAAACTCTTTGCAGTATGGCAGTGCATAGTCAGAGATGGTTTTGTGAGCTGACTGTGTTCAGTGATTGCCCTTGCATGGCTAGATACTGCTTAAATTAAAACCATATGTATAGCATAAAGGCTTTTCCTAGTCCAAAATTTCCAGCACATGACTGCTCCTGTACAGAAGCACAACTGAGGAAGACAAGGAATAAAGCAGCTGTAGGAAAGCTGTTTGCAACTGTTGGTGACTTTGCAGGGTTCTCCCATCCCAGTAAATAGCGTGCTGATCTGACTCTGCCAAGACATACAGAGCTGTAAATGCATGCTGTTGCATGCTTGCTCCACAGTAGCATCTTGGTTATTCTGATTTATTTTTTTTCAGGAAAAGATTTCATACAGGAACATAATTGTAACTACTTGAAACTATAGCTTTGCAGACTACATAAGGGAAAGGAATTGTATTTGACTTCCAGTCAATTTGCAGTGTAATTCTCATCCAGAGATCTAACACAGCAGCAGGGTTTATTATATTTATAATTTAAATAATATATGATGATGCTTAGCTTTCTATATATTATTTATTAGGCAGGGAATGCCTTGAGGGCTATACTTTCTCTTTTAGTATATCCAGGTCTTCCAAAGCGAGCCCTGTCAAGTGGCAATTGCTGCAAGTGGGCTTTCAGTTGGTCTGCATGCAGCTGTGTAATTTCTGGTACTATTTGAAAAATAATTCAACTTCAGTTCCGTTAATTATTTTTTTTGAGAAATTTTAGTTTGCATATCAAGCACAGTCATGAAATAGAGATCTATAGCTTCTTGTGAAACAAATCTTTCAGCTGCTGAAAGACAAACCTTTCTGAAGTACTTTAACAGTACCCAGCTTGTAGCTGCCATTGCGAAGTGCTGAAACAGCATTAACCTTTTCGACATCTGAACCTTTTAGCAGAAGCTGGCTGCTTTGCTCAATGACTGATGCCAGCTGATGCTGCACGTCCTCCAGTTCTTTAAGGGCCCTTACTGGAAACTACATGGCATGTGGGTGGATGCAAGCAGATCTCCAAATTATTTTGGACTTGGCTTCTTGTGCTAGGCTGAAGAAAACATTGTCAGTATTGGTGATTAACAAAAAGCGTAATATTTCCAAGCTTTCTGAGGGAGTGAAACTAGCTCTCTGCTTTTTGCTATACAGCACATCAGTATGCCTTCGTACTTGGGCTGCAGGAGTTATGGGGAGCTGGAGGTCGGCCTCTTCTGGCAGATAACTAGCAATAGGACAAGAGGGAATGGCCTTGAGTAGCACCAGGGGAGGTTCAGGCTGGAAACTAGGAGATCTTTCTTCTCAGAAAGAGTGGTCAGGCATTGCAACGGGTTGCCCAGGGGAGTGGTGGAGTCACCGTCCCTGGGGGTGTTTAAGGAAAGGTTGGACGTGGTGCTTAGGGACATGGTTTAGTGGGTGACATTGGAGGTAGGAGGATGGCTGGAGCAGATGATCTTGGAGGGCTTTTCCAACCTTACTGATTCTGTGATTTGAGAAGCTGTGTAGCTGCTGAGATCTGTTTGCAGGCTTGCCAAATGGAGTGCAAACAGGAGAGGTTGCAGTTGATCCTGTCAACAAAGTGCATGCTCTGGAAAAGTTGTCTTCTAAAGCAGCGTTGAACTGAGAATGTTCACATATGGAACATACTGCCCTAAAGTCGGTGTAAAATTGCTCAAAGGATTTGTTTCTGTGGTGCAGATTTTAAATATCCTTATGTTCTGTGTGCATAGACACAATTTAATTAAAAATAGTAGTTGGTCTGTCTGTGGGACTGGATAAATCAGGTATGAACACTGCTCCATGCTCTAGGAAGCTTTTGGAATTCTTTATTCAGTTTTATGTTGGGTCTATGTGGGATGGAGTCACCTTTCCCTGCAGCAGCCCACACAGTGCTGTGCTCTGCACTCGTAGCTGGAACAGCACTGATATCGCTCCAGTGTTGTGTCTATTGCTGCATAGTGCTGGCACAGCATCAGGACTCCTTCCAAGCCCCCAAGAGCCAGCAGGCTGGGTGTGGGCAAGTGATGAGGAGGGGACATTGCCGGGGCAGCTGACCTAAACCAACCAAAGGGATATTCCATAACACCTGATGTCACACTCAGCAATAAAAGGGGGGCTCTCGTGGGGGAGGGGGCTGTTCCTCCTGAACAACCACTACGTGTTTTGAGGCCCTGCTTCCCAGGACATGGCCAAACATCGCTCGTTGATGGGAAGTAGAGAATAATTTTTTCCCTTCTCTCTGTGCTTCCACGCAGCCTTATTGTTTCTTTTGTTTATTTTTCTCCCCATTCCCTTTCCCTTTAGTTAAACCATTCTCATCTCAAACCTCAAGTTCTCTGTGCTGTATTTTCTCCCCCTTCCTCTTTGAGGAGAGGGGGGAGTGAGAGAGCGGTTGTGGTGGAGTTTGTCTGCCCACCCGAGTAAAACCACCACAAGTTTGTATACCAAATGCTATCTGCAGTCTGAGGAGGACAAGAATTATTGAATCAAGGCAATGTAAAATCAGTAGACAGAGCACCATTTAAATCAACTTACTCGGCATAAAGTGTTTTTGTGGCTTGCAGATGCTGATTGCTGGTAATCCAACTAGAAGCAATGCATTGATAGGCCAGCACAACTGTCAACAAGCTTGTTGGCACTTGGCCTTGTTGAACTTTATCATAGAGTTGACCTCAGCCCATCCGTCCAGCCTATCCAGATCCTCCTGCAGAGCCTTCCTACCCTCGAGCAGATCGACACATGCACCTAACTTGGTGTCATCTGCAAACTTACTGAGGGTGCACTTGATCCCCTCATCCAGATCATCAATAAAGATATTAAAGAGGACTGGCTCCAGTACTGAGCCCGGATGTAGGCATCTCAGCTCAAGTGTCATGTAGCTGAGGTGCTGGCTCGGATCAAACAACTGAACAACATTGGGCTTAAGTTTTCAAAAATTCATCTTGTAAGCTGGGGAAGCATATCATTGTGGGTTCATGGCTAGCATATAAATAAGGGTGAATTTTCTGTTCTCTGTCACTTCTTGGTTTTGACATCCCCAGTTTATTCCATGTACAAACCAGCAAGTCCTGTGCTCAAGTCTCAGGCTTTGTAGATGTGCAGGTATAACTCTTCTCTGAATGAAGAGGTGTTAAAAATTCCCAAATAGGCCATGTAGATGTCACAGCTTTTGAGTGTGACAGTGTGCTGGAGCACTCTGCTGGAGGTATCAAGGGGCAGTGGGCGCATTTGTGGAGTAAGCTGCGACGGTCTCTATAGTTGCAGGTACTTGTGTGTGCTTAATCAATGACAGAGTGTCTAGAGGAATCTTTGCAGGAAAGCAGTATGACTCATTCCTGGGGAGGCTTCAAAATAGGAAGGTGCTGCATGACTGCTGTCACACAGGGGGAATGCTGGGTTTTATCATCTGTCCTGGCATTCAGTTAGTGTCCTTAAACTTCAAAA